GTATATAACCCCCCCCACTCAGCGCCTGCTGCTGCGATCCTGGAACAAGTATTTCCAGCCCCCAACCCCGACAACGCCAACAAACATCCAACGTCCCAGGAACCAACCACAGCCAGCCTGAGCTGGTCTTTACGAGTCAAAACTGCACAATGCGGTCTTTGCTTTGAAACCACCCACGCCCAACTGTTGCCTTCCTCTACCCAAACAAACCGTAACTGGTACTCTACAAGCAAGACGGCCCATCTATTTCTTTATTAGGTATGCAGACGGGCTCTCCCCCTCCCGATGATGGCCCTGCGCCAGACGCTCCCTCACGACCAGAGAGCGAGTTGCCTCCCCTCTCGCCGTCGCCACCGGAGAAAACAGCATTGCCAGAGCCAGTGCCTGCGGCCGTTAATCCAGAGGAGATGGCTCAGTTGGAGAAAGTCTTGCAGTCAGATGTATGTGGAGAAGTTGCGCAGTTCCGCCAGTTGTAGTAGTTGTATGTGTATAGTATGCAACGGAGAGAGCATATGGCTAACTAACTGCGATTCGCGCCACACAAAAAAAAAAAAAAAACAGATTGGAGTTTCGATTCTATTAACTAGATTGAAACAGACCATTGCATCCACTAAAGTTCGTCACTGAAGAGCTCCCCCCCGGCCCCTCCCTCCTCCTTACCCTCCTTTTCATCCCTCAATCGTCGAACCCCCCCAATGACCCATTGATTTCAAACAAATCCAGGACTTCTCGAATTTCCTTCGCAAGCGATCCGCCCTAGAAGAAGAGCATGCGCAAGGCCTTAAAAAGCTCGCTCGCGCCTTCCATGACTCAACTCAACGCATCGATAATCGCCAAGGCACATTCTCCACCGGCTGTGAGGAGATAAACCGTATCCATGACCGCATGGCCGACCATGGCCTCCAGTTTGCGCTCTCCCTGCAGCAGATGTCGGATGACCTGAACGAACTAGCGGCGAACATGGAACGGGGCCGGAAGCACTGGAAGCAAAACGGGCTGAATGCGGAAAAGCGCGTGCAAGATGCGGAGAGCATGGCGGAGAAGGCGAAGGCGAAATACAACTCCCTCGCGGAACAATACGACCGCGCTCGGACTGGCGACGCCCAACCTGGCAAATTTGGCTTGAAAGGACACAAGTCGGCCGCGCAGCATGAACAGGATCTTTTGCGCAAAGTCCAGCATTCGGATTCGGAATATGCGTCCAAGGTCCAGACGGCGCAGGGCCTGAAGAACGAGCTCATGTCGACCCTGCGGCCGCAGGCGGTGCGCGCTCTGCAGGATTTGGTTGCGGAGGGTGATTCGGGCCTTAGCCTTCAGATGCAGAAATTCGGTATGCATTTGGGTTATGTATTTTTCCTTTTGTCAGGTCAGGGATACGGTAGTGTTCCAGTTTTGGGTGACTGATCTCTTGTGTTTCTAGCCACGTTCACCGAGAAGCTTATGCTTGGAAATGGTCTTTGCGTGAGCCCGCTGAAGAACGGCGTGAATCCCGATGCTGCTGGGTTTAAGAGTCTGCGGGAAGTTGCGGCTCAAGTGGACGACGAGAAGGATTTTAAAAGTTTCATCTTGAGCCATGCGTCAAAGATTGGCTCGGGGTCGGCTGGGGTCAAATATGAGAAACACCCGGTTCGTGCAGACCTAGTATTATACTACTGTTTTTTTTTTTTTTTTGTCCCGGTCTAACATGAGCTCAGACACTTGCGACTCCTCCTCCGCAGCCGACTCCTATACAAACATTAAACCAACCGGGCATCTCGTCAATCCCCAACGTTCCTCCGCAACTGCCAGGGCCTAATTTCAGCTCCTCGCCTCCGCAATCTGCAACAGCTCCCGCCCAGCATCAGAACTCGTCACAGCCCTTCCAACCACCAACGACGCAACTACCCTATCCAGCGCCATATCAGCAACCGCCGCGTCAAGAGCCATATGGCATGCACCAACAGGAACCCCCGCAAATGCAACCGCAGATGCCATACCCGACGCCTGGCCCTCACATGCAGCCACAGTATCGGCCCTACTCACCGGCACAGCAACAGCCTCCTCCGGAACGTTTTCCGGTAGCGAGGAACGGGTATAGTGCAGATCTACCACCCCTGAAACCCGTCTTCGGGGTATCGCTGGAGGAACTGTTCCAGAGAGATGGGACCGCTATCCCCATGATCGTGTACCAGTGTATCCAGGGTGTTGAGCTTTTCGGCCTCAATGTTGAGGGCATCTATCGTCTCTCTGGCAATGCTAATCACATTGCGCATCTGAAGTCTCTGTTTGATAATGGTATGCGAGAAATCTTCTCATGGCCCTGGCCCTCGTTTCCTATTTTAAAATAGCAATCGTGGATTAATTCATTGCCCTAACTCCAAAATGCAATCCGATATATAGATTCTTCCCAAGTCGATTTCACAAACCCGGAGAACTTCTTCCACGACGTCAACAGTGTAGCTGGGCCTCCTGAAACAGTTCTTTAGAGAGCTCCCGATTCCTTGGTTAAGAACCAACCATAATCCGAATTTAACAAATGCTGCCCGTACGTGATGCGTGACCTATCAATATACACACAAGGCGTATAGTATGTGCTAAAATACTCTCTCGCTGGAGATATATAGGTCGCGACGACGATATCCAGCGCCGTGATGCTGCGCATGCGCTTATAACAA